GAAATCAGCGGTTTCTTTGCAGGGCGTCGAGAAAACAATCCGGCTTCAACAGCACGTTGTCTGATTGTTCAGTCCGATACAGGCAGCACTAATTGCTTTTGCATCTCGACTGATGATATCCACGGATCTTTCTTGACGGGTCTGACAATCATAGAATCCTCTCTAGAAGTGGTGGAACGCGGTCTTCCACCATTGTTATCTGCTGCCAACTTCCCCGTAGAACGATATTTGAAACATAGTCTTGATACGGTCCATTTTTTCACGCGATATTTATCACAAATACTTTTTTGTGACATTCCAATTACGTAATCGCCAATAATTTTCTTTCTTAGTTCCAATCCAAGCAGATCAAACTCTGAAGTCGTAAAAATAGTAAAAATAAATAATCACGCTTCTCAAGGCTTAGCGTGTTACATTTACCTTGTGATGATTCAATAATGCTCATTGGAACACAACGTCTGGATACTTCCTTTAATTATTAAAAAACTTCCGTGACGTTGACACGGACCAGACCTAATTAAATGAAACAAACCTAAAAAGTTGCATTTGTTTTGTCCGCTGCAAAATGACACTTGTCAACGAAATTCTGCCTGTGTGCTGTCACCTGTCAGCTGATTGCTCATACCATGGCATGCTATGACTCCAGACTCCTGAACTGTTTGCTGTAGTAGTATAGTTCGCTTCGTTTTTAAGACGTAAAATTAGGAACACTTTTTAGCATTGTTCGATGTTGGTTGCAAATGTTTTGTCCAATACTGTATATCTAGAATGTATGTTTATCTTGCTAATAACTCAAACCACACGAGAACTACTTAAAAAACAAAAAATTCTATTTCACCTCTGAGACTTTCTATACATCCCAGTTATGTTCTACATATATAGTTATTCATTACCATGGCTATTGATGACTTTTACCATTTTTGAATATTTTTTATTATTCTTTTTATTATCATTAACATATATTAAACTTCATCATAATAAATTTTAGTATTTTAACTCGTAATTTTCCGCTGGACATGTGACCCATATTTTATGTGCAATTATTTTTAATTATTTTAGTTGTTCCAAAATTATTAATAAATTCAGTATTGTATATAAACTTTATTTTTTAAACTTTTGATTTTTTATACAAAACAAAATTAAACAGAGCAGCCGTGGCGCAGTGGTAACGCATTTTGCCTCAGAAACAAAGGATCCGTGGTTGAAACCCCGCCTCTGGGCAAGTCTTACGACATCGGTTAGGAAGAAGGCGTGAACTTCCAAATAAATGCTCTTGCGCGGTGCTCTGTGATATGTCCGTAAGGACTTCTTGTGGCACCTAAATAAAATAAAAAAAAAATAAAAAAAAAGAAAAGATCTTGAACACACGCCTAGGTTAATCAAAACGTCATTTTTTTTAGTTAATTTTATTTTTAAAAGACGCTAAAGCATTGAATCAAGTAGCCCGGTTTTTACCATTTATTTTAAAACGTTGCAATTAGTTATTAATTTAAATTTATAATTTAGTATTTATTTTATTTTTTGCCTGATGGTTTTTATAAATTTCAAACAAATATTTTAACTTATAAAACCCCTTTTAAATTTATTTTACAAAAATTTTAATGTCATAGTTATTTTAATGCTTATAGAAACCAGCCCTTTTTATTACACTATTAAATTTGAGTTGTTTGTTTTCGCGCTAAATATTTTCGCTATTAAAAGTGTTAAGAAAATTAATATTAGAAAAGGTTTGAAAAGATTTATAAAAAATACATATTTATATAAATGTAATTACGTATAATTTTTTTTGGTAATTTAAATAAAAATGGGTTTATTGTAAACATAATTATTAGTTTGTTACTTTATTTAACAAAGTAATGAGTAAACTTAATAATTTTGTATTTTTATTATATATTTAATTATGTATTTAATAATTACATAGTTTATGTATTTAATATATTTACAAAGCATTTCGCATAGTAAAGTAATTTTTAAAAAACGTAATATAAATTTTTATATTTTTCCTTTTCAAATTATAGTTTTTTGAGCTTAAATTTTTTCTTTTTCTTTAAAATTTTCTGTTTTTATTAGATGATTTAACTTACAAATTGCGTGGTCAAGTTGTAAAAACAAAATATTTTATGCGTAGTCAAGATTGGCGTTCGATCGCACTTATTTAATTTTTATCGAAATATCCATTAAACAACCTGAAATATCCATTAATGTCTGAAAATATTGGGTGCCAATAAGAACGAGTTGCACTTAGTTGCCCAACATTTTCAGTCATTGACTTGAATGGATATTTCAGGTTGTGTTCGTACACAAGGTCCTTAGGTCCCGTGAAATATTTTATTTTTTACTTTTTAGTCCGTTTTTAAAATGTTGTTTTTAAAAAGTTTTATATATTTTTTTTTATTATTCAACAGCGATTCTATTTATTTATGCTTAACTAAAAATCTAAAAGTTTGTTGTTTGTTTTAATTGACCTTTCCCCTTATAATCATAAATTCACGCAATGCATTATGGTGTTTCTATGAACAGAAAAATCAATAACTCGCCATTCATAGTTTTTTTAGTTTTTCATTATTTCGTGGTTTGATAATTTAGATAATTTCTCTCTTATAATTAATAAAATTTACGCCAAGGGATCGTCCATTAATTACGCAATGCAAAATATATTTATAAAACAGAAGTAGGAGATATTAAGCTCTTTTACGCAGCGGTTTTCATTAAACTTAATGGGCTTTTTATTATAATCTTTTCTTTCACTTGAGGTTTTGTGGTTTATCCTCTGCCAGCTAATTGCCTTGTGGAGGCCACATTACCTCGGTCCGCAGAGAGTTGTTTCGGCTCCGAAGTGAGCGTCATAACCCGCTCCACGGACTAAGAGTAAGGTGAGTTTGGGAAGAACGAAGATATGTTAGAGTGAAAGACAGAAGTATTCGTGTTAGAAAGATAGCATAGAGAAAGCGGACAGAATTGCACGCGATGTTAGAAGGTGCAATAGTGCTGTAAGTCGAACCGACAAAGACTTGGAAAGTTCATTTGATATGAACTCTTCCTCAACTTTTATTTATTAGTATTTTCATGTAAAGCTTTGATTAATTGAATGTTTAAAACCTTACAACTTCCACTTACCTTAAGTAACTACTTTTGTAGGCTTTATTAGATTGGCTAAATCTTTTTTATTGCATTTCTAATAAGTTATTTTTTTTATTACATTGGCAGATAATTGCAGATGGACAGTTTTAAAGATTGGGACTGAGTATTTTTATAATCTTTACTTTCACTTGATATGAACTTTGGTATTGTGGTTTAACCTCCTCCGGCTAATTGCCATATAGAGGCCACTTTACCGGGGTCCGAAGACTGATTGAGCTCCTGGGGGAGTGTCATACCCGCTTAACTAGAGTTCACATTATAATTAGAATTCACATTACATAGTTTTTCAACTTTTTTAGTCGTCCCAAAAACTAGTGAAAACTAACCTTTTATTTAGAAATTTGCTTTTAAACTGCTTGCGGGTTTGTTTTTTTATTAAAAAATAATCTATATACATTAATAAATGTTAAAATCGGCTAATATTGCTTGTGGGTTTGTATCTTTTTTTTAAATCTTTTTTTAATACTTTCTTTTTGAAAATAAAATTGAAAAATTTAACTTACAACATAATTTTGTCTAATATTAATATAAAAATATATTACATATGTGGGAGGACGAGGGTGGCAATGCAAATGAAATATTTGTACTCTATGTTAATTTATTTTATATAAAAAATTTTATCCTTTAAAAAAATATATTCTGCTCCTTTAATCCGGGAGGCTTAATAAGCGCGAATTGGCATAAGTGCAAATTGGCATAAGAGCGAAATAACAATTTGCGTTATACCAATATTTGCAATTTTATTCGGCGCACTTATGCCAGTTCGCACTTATGCCAATGTTTGCAAATCCTTTTGGCTCACTTATGCCATTTCGCACTTATGCCAGTTTTTGTAACTGCTTTGCACTTATGCCAGATCGCACTTATGCTAATTCGCATGTTTGCACTTATGAAATTCGCGTGCCATGTTTGCAAACATGCCAGTTTGCACTTACGAAATTCCCGCTTATTCAGTTGTCTCCTTTAATCAGGAAATACTCCGTTTCTTTAATAAGTATAAAAAGTTCGATTTAATTTCAAATGTCTTGACATTGCTAAATATCGTAACTCTCTGTAAAGACTAAAAAGTAGAAAATAAAATATAGCAAAAACATTTGCTAAAAAATTTAATATTTTATAGTCTTTTTTTTCACTTAATATGATTTTTTCCTCTACTTTCTTTGACGTCGTTAGGGTTTTTTAATAAAATTGAAAAAGTAACTTACAAAGTTATGTTAACTTTGTTTAATATTAATATAAAAATATACTACATCTGTGGGAGGACGCGGGCTGCAATGCAAATGAAATATTTGTACTTTATGTTATTTTACTTTTATATAAAAAAATTTTATCTTTTAAAAGAAAAATATTCCGCTCCTTTGATCAGCAATTAATCCTTTTCTTTAGGATAAAAAGTTCGATTTTATTACAAATGTATTGCTAAATATCGTAATTCTCTGTCAAGACTAAAATGTGAAAAATAAAATATAGCAAAAACATTTGCTAAAAATATAATCTTTTTGTACTTAAAAGTAAAAAATAAACTTTTTAATTTAAGTTTAATAGTTTAGTAAACTAAAGACTGACAGGTATGTTTCTATATAGATCTTGTGCAGACCTGTCAATCTGGTTTGCACAAGATCTTCATAGAAACAACTTTTTAATTTAAATTTAATAACTTTTTTTTTTAATTTAAACTTAATAACTTTTTAATTTAAATTTAATAGTTCAGTAAACTGAGATCAAATCTCAGTTTACTGAACTATTAAATTTGAATTAAAAAATTTATTTTCTACTTTTTAGTAAAATAAGATTATTTTTTTAGCAAATGTTTTTGCTATATTTTATTTGATTTTTTATTTAAATTAAGACTCGGCACGGGAAAACTTTTGACCTATTTTGTTTTGTTTATTATGAAAGTTTGCGTTACGTAGTTTGTACAAATCTCATTATCTCCGCAGGAGAATAACTGCATTGTAATATAATCAAATATTTCAACGTAGTTGTAGTTAAATTTCGTTAAAGAAGTTTGTTTAAAGTATATTTTACAAGTATAAATAAGTAAAAGAATATATAATTAACTCTATAAATATTCGTATTGGTTCTAGCTTTTTTAAAAGCCCTAGCATTCCACTAAATGCAACATTTTGTATAATTACAAACGAGGAATTTAATATCGACGAAAACAAAATAATCTGTGAAGATGTAATTTAATGGTCAAAAGACAACATCTCTGTTTCCGATAACACATCAACATATATTCACTTATTTAGTATCAGACGATATCAGTTATTCAAAGAGAACTATGTAAAATAAATTAGAGTTGAGAAAAAGTTCTGAAAACGTGGCACAGAGTTTTGACACAAAATTTGATTTCGTAAAATAAGTGTTACCGCGTACTTATTCTATGTAAAGAATTATGAAGTACATCTACCTAACACTACACAAGCTAGTTACTTTCACAATTATATAAAGCATGGCAGAAATCGTTAAGGTAAAGTGGGGTAATAAAATCAGAGGGCCAATAGGATTAGTTTCAGAATAGTCTAAACTAAATTACTTAATGCAGTTATGTAAAAATTACTTATTTTTACATAATAGAGTTTTACTTACTAAATCAGGAAGTAGTTTAAAACATTTCTAAGGTTTAAACTATTTTATAACCATTATTGATTTGACTTTTAATATCGATTTTTTTGCAGTAGTTTTTAGTTTAGTTTGAAGTTTATGAAAAACTTTGCAAAAACCAGGACTTTTAATTTTTTAATTAAAAAGTATATATAAAGTTGTTTGTTTTTATTTTACTTGAAAGAAAAGAAGTTTGGTAAGTAAGTTTTTTAAGTTTACACAATTCTACTTAAGTAATATTTTGATATTTAAAATGTCTTATTTTTTTAGTTAAAACAGCAAAGTTACTGAGCCATCCAATAAAAGTTTACACATTTTAAGAACATACCTTTAAAATTAGCTTACACAAAAAACATTCTGTATTACTAACAAAAGTAAGACTTATTTATGGTGTTTGTATCTATTTTTTTAATTTGTTTAATTAGAGTATACAACTTTTATTTAAAAATAAGTTGCTTTTAATGCCCTTCTTGACTAGTAAATATGGCAAAACTCTCTAATAAATTCAAATCAGCCATAAATTTTATACTATTTAAATATAAAATTAAAGCTAAATTACGGCTTCTTTTTTTTTTGTTTAAATATATTTTTTATATGTATTTTTGAGAAAAAATCTTACTGATTTTTTTTCTAGAATGGTTCGAACATACAAAAAGTGGAGGACAGGGAGGAAGGAAATCTTATTTAAATAGCCAGGAAAAGCTAGATGCCTGCAATACTGTTTTGAGTAAAGAAATGTCCATAAACCAGGCATCCTAACATTTTAGGTGTGACCGGTAAGCTCTTTCAAAACAAAAGGTGAACTATTGATGCTCATCCAGGACGAAAAATAGTTTTGACTTTGCAGCAAGAAAATATTGTATTAGCAAAATGAGGTGTTGTTAGAGTGTCACAGACTCAGGCCGGGAGCAAATTACTGTAAATTATGCATGCTCTGCTAGCGAACAGATATTGCCACGATATGTTATCTAAAAAGGAAAAATTTATATATGGACTGGTTTAAAGGTGGCCCTGATGGAGCTATTTATACAACAAGTAATAAGAGCTAAATAAAGTTGTTTTTTTGCCTGGGAAGCTTCCTATCCAGGCAAAAAAAAAACTTCTAAAATATGTAAGAACACATAATGGAGCAGTCTTAAAGAAACATTTCCCAGGACAATTACTCATCTTTTTCTGGAGTTTCTTTACTGTGGAAAAAGTCAAAAGTGGTTTTAAAGGAACTGGGATTTTCTCTCTAAACAAGAATGCTGTTGACACACGCTTGTTTGATAGATGATTTAAGTTACCAGTAAAGAAACCTACATTTACCACTAATCACCTCACAAGATTATGTTCAATGCCTAACCTTCAAAGCATTTCTGTTAATAATGCTTAACTTTCAACATCAATATCATCTGCTTCAATGTTATCCATTTCTACATTATCCTCAGAAGGCTAATCTATCAAAGATTTTTTTCTAAAACAATTACAGTCCAAGTGGGTGTGCTGCGATGTTTGTGACATTTTTTATTATGTAACTGTGATAACTGAATTAAACGATGTTTAAGTCATGAAGTTGAAGTGTGGGCAATTGCTCTAAGCCTATGTAGAAAATTAGGCTTAAAATTTTTTATTGTTAATTTTCTCCTTTTTATTTGTTTGTTGTAACTTCTTACTTTCTTCATAGGTGTTGGAATGATTTTCTGATGTTTCAGATATGATGCTTTCAGGCTACACGCTAACTCTAAACTTAAGTATGTTTATACTTAGTAAAATGGAACTATTTTTGCAAAATATTGCACTGACTGAAATATTGACTGAGCCTGGGAACTAAAATACTCCAATACATTTGCCCCCTACCTCCAATCGTAAGAGCAATGAGGCAATAAAATATTTTTATACTATTTCATTATATTTTTAAATTTATTAACAGGTTTTTAGTTTCATATAATAGCAGTTTATTATTCAAAAGTTATGATCAAGTAAAATGTACCTCACCATTTTGGGGAGGTTGAAAATAGCACATGATCATAACTTTATGAATTTAAATGTGTTTTAAGATAGCAAAAAAATATTTTTATTCGCTCATATTCATATTACTTGCGTGACAATGTCAGAAAGTAGGGGTATTTTAGTTCCCAGGCTCAAGTCACCACAATTTTTTGCAAAACATTCTCATTTGACTTTTGGATAAGTATGCTAAAGTTTAGATCTTGCACAATTCCTAAAACTAACTGAAACATCAAAAAAATCCTGTTAGCCCTAATGCCGGTGTTTGCTACTATATGGCTGTTTTTTTCTGTATAAAAAATTGTTCACCTTTAAAATAAAAATGTTTTTTATTCTATTAAAAGGAAATTTGTTTTAGATTTTATAATATTAGTTTATTTTTTAGAAAGTAACCGCAACAAAATAATTTCCATTAAGTGGAGATAGTAGTGATCATTAAAGTTGAGATAAAAGTGATAAATTGGTGTGTTATTGCATGTTTGACATATTATACAATGTCAAAGGCACTCTAATTAATGAGATGGTATTTAAATTAAACGGAAGTTTAACATTTGCGCTAAGTCTTGGTCAAAATATATACATTGAATTTTTTGCTTCTTACAAATGTCTATTTTTTACTTTTTACAGTATTGGTACTATATGAAATCTTTTTTTAAATAAATTAGGAAAAAAATTATTTTGAACTTCACAATAGTCATATATTTCAATAAAAAAATCTAGAAGTATGTAAAAAAAAGTGATCTTAATGGCCTCCTTTGCCCTATTTGTCAATGACTGAAAACCGCTTTACTAAATTGCTCAAAAATTCATTGAAATATAATCAAAAAACTTCAACAAAAAACAAACACTTTCAATCAAACATTTATAGAAAATTAACTAAATACATTTAATTTAAACAGATAAAAAAAAATTTCTTAACCTGCTAAATAGTAGGGGCCACCAATGCCTACTTTTAGCCGATGCCGATTGGTAAAAGCCGATACCGATGCATCGGCCATTAATTCAAAATTGTACACTGTTAAAAAGACACTAAATGCGTTTTTTATCAATTCCTGATAAAAAACGATTCAAACAATATTTAAAGGTTTGTATATGCATTTTCGATTATGGAATAGTTGAATTTTTGAATACAATATAGAAACACAAAAATAAAAAAACTGATTTTTCAAAACAATCGGCATCGGCCGATGGTTACCAAAACCGATGCCGATGCATCGACTAAATGGTGTATGCATCGGCAGGCCAATGCCAATACATCGTTGCACCCCTACTAAATAGTATATATCTTTTAAAAATAAATTCACATTCCCAAGGCCAAGGAGTTTGCTGCAGTCGAGTTTACTTCATTAGTTTTGATTGTAGTTAGACTCACTTAACTATTTGACTCCAAAATACAAACCTTGTCAAACAAAACCGCTACACGGAGAAACATATTGAGCGGGGTACTACCAGAGACGTGGTGAGTTCGAACTCAAATCTTTTCGCTACGCGTTTTACTAATACACATCTACCGGGTGTTCTACGACTATTCTACCAATTGTTACTCTTTATTTTAAAAGTCTTATTGTTTATTAATTTATTTTGAAATTATGAAATACAACATTTTAATAAAAAATAAAAATAATTTATTCATCAGGGTGTAGGGTGCATTTAAGCACCATTTATCTGGGTACTTAGTGTTTAAAATGTGTTACTTATAATATGTAAACTAATTAATTTAATAGTTTATAATAATTTTATGCTTACAGCATTCGAATCAGTTGTGAACGCAATTCGTGAAAAAGATTTTTATTACACATTAAGTACTGGTTTTGTATTGATCATCAACAACGAAAAATTTGTTGAGGAAGAAAATAGAGATGGCTCGGAAGTAGACGTTCAAGCTTTAAACTCTTTTTTCAAAGGTACTTTAGGTTGGTGCGTAAAATCCTGTAACAACCTGAAAAGGGAAGATATTATTAATATTGTGTATTCTCTCTCTCAAGTAAAGTGTTTTCCATTCTCTGCGTTATTTATCGTTATTTTATCTCATGGATCAGAATCTGGAATACTTGGCATCGATTCATCTGAAGAGATAAAAATCAACAGTCTGCTTGAAAACTTTAAAGCTGATAATGCTCCTGCCTTTGATAAAAAACCTAAAGTTTTTATTGTACAGGCATGCAGAGGGGAAAAAGATGATATCAGAAAAGATGGTATAAAAGATGCTAAAAGAACTTATTATAATGAATCAACCATTCCCATGTTAAGCGATTTTGTTGTTGCTTACCCATGCGCAGCAGGATACACTGCTCTAAGATCAACAGTAAAAGGTTCGTGGTTTATTCAAGAGTTGGTTAAATGTTTGTCGATATTTTACGATAAAGAAGACTTTTTATCTATTTTGAATCGGGTAAATTTCAAAGTTGCAAACGTTACGTTGCCACAAGGTTTAAAAGAACAGCCTTGTTTTGAGGTTGGTTTGCGCACGCGATGTTTTTTTCAAGAGTATTTCAGAAAATTACATAATATTTTAGAATATTACAGTTCGTTAAACTCCGATACAAAAAAGTTACTAATTAAAGGTGATTTTTAACGGCTTTTGTTTTTGTAGTTTATGCGCAACTAGGTTTTACTTAAATATGTTTATATATACATATATACACCCCTCGGAATTAGGGTCGGCATACGGCAATGCCTACCTAACTGCCGACCTTAAATGTGTGTGTGTGCGCGTGCGTGTGTGTGTATATATATATATATATATATATATATATATATATATATATATATTTGCGGTTTTTAAATTAACGGAACTTGTTGTTTTCTTAATTTGTAATGACCTTTGCATTGCAGTTTTTACTCTAGCTACATTTTTTAGCTACCTTTGTTTTAATTATTTATTTATTTAAAATAAAATAGTATAATTATTAGTAATTTTTTTTAATTGAAAATAATTTCTTTGATTTTTTTTTACAAATTTTCTTGTAATTTTTTCGATCTTAAGAAATATAAGTTTTTTTTATTAAAATCGTATTTTTAAATAAAACTAGCTTTTTTAATGCTTTATTTACCTTTTTTTCAATTTTGTTTTTATAAAAAAAAGTAATTTGTTTCAAATTAGTACTTTAAAAAGTTTTGATTACTTTTATTTTTTGAGTTTGTACTTTGTTTTTTGATTTTGTACTTTAAGTACTTTTGTTTCAAAAAGTAATTTGAAAAAAAAAGTAATTTGTTGCAAAGTTTAAACAATTTAGCCATATTTCTGCTGAAACCTTTTATGCCCGATTGGCATCCCCAAATCAGAGCCGGATCAAGAGGGGCTAGGGGGGTGGTTTAGAGGACTTTAGAGGATTTTTTTTAATTTAATTTTTATTTTTAGTCATTTTTAGGCTCTGGCCTATAAAATAGCCTCCAAAAACAAAAATAGCCCCGGGCTTTAAGAAGTTTTAACTTCTTGGGGCCCGGGGCTACTTTTGCAGAAACTATTTGGGGTTACTCCGCCACTGCCCCAAATAGTTTCTGCTGCAGAAATGCAGTACCACTAAAATGTTGTCAAATGGTGTTATGGTTTTACTATAAGTGAAGCAAATTTACAATAGTGGCATATTATATATTTCTAATCTCGTATACCAACAAAAATTATAAAAACTTGGTACGAAAACTAAATTTTAATAAAAATATTTTAGTCAAATACTGCGTCGACTCATATTGTAATATTGTTTATGTATAGTAAACATATATAGTTTATATATAGTTCTATTATATGTCTTTAATCAAGTGTAAAAGTAGATACGTCCATAAAATAACAGCGTATGGTGTTTCTTGTGGTTTGTTATTTAAATTTACACTCGAATAAAAATACGCACAAAGATATAATATAATTGAAAATATAGTTTAATAACTTAATAGAATATATAGTTTCAAGATATTTCTTGGAAAGCCAGAATTAATAGAACACAAGGAACAAACGTAGGTAATAATCAATAAATTTACAATAACAAAAGTTAAAGCTTTAGCACAAAGCAGAACATTGCCACATAATGTTGCAATAACATAGTTAAACTTAAAAACTAGTTTTGTTATGTTACCATTTTCTTTACCTTCTGTAGAATCCACGTTTTTCCTTAATTGTTGGCTAACCATTAATAAAGTTTCAAATCACGAAAATTTTTTAAGTTTAGCCGATACTATGTCGTCGAATAAACAAAGGCAAAATAAAATAAAAAAAAGAAGAATTCAAAACGAGGTATCAGTTTGATTACATTAAAAAGCATATTAGTCTCCATTCGTCATTTTTTGCAGCCGTGGTGCAATAGTTAGAGTTCTGGCTCAGTGTGCCAAATTTAAACTTGACAAAAAAATATAAAATGAAATTTAAACAATATTTTAAGGGATTATAGATACTTTAAAATCTCTATGAAAATAAGCTTTATTTAAGACTCAGAAAGACAGGTCATCATTCACTTTTAAATAATTTTTTTTTTGACAATATTATGAACTTTACCCCAAATGCTGAGAATGCTATAATAAATCGTATTGTTTGCTCAGCAACAGAAAATTTTTGTTGTAGTTGGCAGTGGTGGATTAAGACTTTTTAAGGCCTGGAGCTGTTTTAAAGTAGAAGGCCCTTTTTCATGGGCAATGACGAAAATGAATAAAATAAAGACTTTCTTAAAAAGCTATCGCTGATATTTATTTAAGTTAAAATTTAATTAATTTATTTTATTGAATTAAGTTAAGTGATTTATTTCTGCTTTTCTTTTTCGCAAACTCAGTTATCACATCGCTGAATACCATAGTTTCTAACAATTTTGATTCAATAGTTAATTTTGCTATATTACTTAAACAACTATGGAGCATTGTTGATTGGTGGATGTTCTTTACTCTTTAAAGAGCTTAGAATGATCTCTCAGCCTCGCAATTTGTTATGAGAATAGTTAGAAACCAACGATATGCTATATAAACATTAGGAGATACATCAATAATATCGGTTTCAACAATCCAATTTAAAACATGTATTAATATGTTTTTAGTTTCAGATTTATCTTTTTTTATGAGAAAAAAAACCTGGAGGTTGTAATTTTAATCATAATACAAATTGTTCTATTTCAAAAATGAAACTATATTCTAAATCCTTTGTACATTTCTACATTTCAATAAGCGTTTGTACACTTCTACATTTCAATAAGCATTCAATAAATTTACTAATAAGCTGTTGTTACAGGCCACCAACTGAAAGAATTGAAAACTTTGGCAATTTTTTACTAAATAATTTAATAAAGAAAACTGATCTTGAAAAGAAAAAAAATTATTTGATCGGGGATTTCAACATAAACTCCTTTGATTATTATGAAAATCAAAGTTCGAGAAAAATTTTCAATGCTTTATTTGAAACTGGAACAATACCTTTAATTAATCGTCCGACTAGAATCACATGTCATTCATTATCATTAATTGATAACATTTTAACAACCGATTTTTTTAATAGGTCGCTAAAAAAGGGAATTATAAAAACCTATGTTTCCGATCATTTCCCGATTTTTTTTTTCTATTTGTGTTAATTTAAAAAAAGAGAAGCAAGGAAAGGTTTTAATAAAAAAACGGCTTATCAACAATAATAATTTAAATTCTTTCAGAGAAAAATTATCACTTATAGATTGGGGTTATATTAACTTTAATGATAATATCAACATAATCTACGACAATTTTTTCCAAACTTTTTACCAAGTGTATGATTCCAATTTTCTTTTAATTGAAATAGTTTTAAGCGATAAATAAATGTTATCTCCCTGGATTACTAAAGGTCTCAGAAAATCATCAAAAATTAAGCAGAAGCTATACATTAAGTACCTAAAATCAAAATCAGAAAAACATAAACAAAATTATAAAACTTATAAAAACTTATTTGAAAAGCTTCGCAAAAATGCAAAAAAAAAACTACTATTCAAACTTGCTTAATAAATATAAGCACAACTCAAAACGCGTCTGACAAATCATGAAGGAGGTGTCTGGAAAACTTAAACCAAATAAAAATTTACTTCCAAATTTTATACAAATCGACAACAAATTAATCAATGACTCAAATGATATTACATTTGAATTTAACAAGTTTTTCTCCACTATCGGGACAAAATTAAGCGATAGTATTTCATTCATTAAAGATAAATCTGTTGATGAGTTCGAAACATCAATAAGCTCTAACCTAAATTTTACTGAGTTAACTTTTAATGAATTTGCTTTTAAATCATTAAAACGAAATAAAGTTACTGGGTACGAAATAAAGTTACTGGGTACGAAATAAAGTTACTGGGTACGAAATAAAGTTATGATGATATTAACACAAATATTGTTATTAATTCCTACGATGTTATAAAACATATTCTTTATAAAATCTTCAGGGGCATCCATTGCACAAGGGTCTTTTCCAGATAAACTAAAAATAGCGAAAGTAACTCCAATCTTCAAGACAGGGGATTGTACAAATATAACAAATTATCGCCCTATTTCAGTTCTTCCAGTTTTTTCAAAAATTTTAGAAAGAATAATGTACAACCGAATCTACTCTTATCTTGTTGAAAATAAAATTATATACGAAAACCAATTTGGTTTCAAAAATTCAACCGAGCATGCCATTCTTCAACTTACGCGCATTATAACCGACTCATTTAAAGACTCTTGTTTTACACTAGGAGTGTTTATTGATTTGTCCAAGGCATTTGATACCGTCAATCATCAAATCCTGTTAAAAAAACTAATATCATATGGTATTAAAGATAAAACCCTATTATGGTTTGAAAGTTATCTTACTAACCGTAAACAGTTTGTTTACAATAAAGATTCTATATCTCATCTATTAATGAATATAACATGTGGTGTTCCACAAGGATCCATACTTGGTCCTCTTATTTTTTTAATATACATAAATGATCTTCATAAATCATCAAACTTAACAACAATAAATTTTGCAGATGACACAAATTTGTTTTTGTCTCATAAAGATATTAATATGCTTTTTACAAATATGACAAATGAATTAAAAAAAGTTTCTGTTTGGTTTAAACAAAATAGATTGTCTCTAAATATAGAAAAAACTAAATGGACACTTTTTTATCCACCTTTAAAATACCAGAAACTGCCCCATATCATGCCAGACCTTCTAATTGATAATATAATAATAAAAAAAAGTTACTAAATTTCTTGGAGTATATATTGATGAAAACCTATCTTGGAGAAATCATATTGATAATACCTCCAACAAAATTGCTAAATGCATCGGAATTCTCTATAAAGCAAGAAATATATTAAGTAAACACCAGTTAACACAATTATATTATTCATTTATACATTGTCATATAAACTACGCGAATATTATATGAAGAAGCACTCACAGAACAAAGCTAAAATCTCTTTACCTTCATCAGAAACACGCAACTCGCGTAATAAATTTTAAAAATCGGTTTTTTCACACGAAACAACTTTTTAAAGAAATGAATATTTTAAATGTATATCAACTAAATGTCTTTAATATTTTATGTTTCATGTTTAAATGTAGAGAAAATTTGTCGCCAAATGTATTACAAAATTTTTATTGTATGAAACCTAAAAACAAATATAATTTTCGAATTAATAACAGTCTTATTGCCCCTTTTTGTCGTAAAAGCAAAGACCAGTTTTTTGTTTCTTACCGAGGTCCTTATCTCTGGAACAAAATAGTCTTACCAAATTTTGATTTTTCAACCCAAATGACTTTTGCTTCATTCAAACAGAAACTTAAAAAAATTATATTTTTAATTGAAAATATCTTGATTTATTTTTAATTGCCTTTTTTTTTTTGTTTTGTTTTTGTTGTTGTTTTATTTTGTATATTATTTGGTTTAAAATTTTATCTTGACTTTTTAACATTTTATCTTGGTTTTTAAATATTTTTGCATAGAGGTGTATTATCATTTCACTACAGACATTGTATTTTTATTAAACGACATAATATCATAATATCAATTAGCTCTTCAAAAATAGTTTTAGACAAATAAGATACATTACCTTTGTCTTTATTTGCAAAAGTGTCAATGTGTTGCTAAAAACTGGATCAAATTGAGTTAACAGTTCTAACACGCCTAAGTAACTTCCGTTATTTGACAATCCTACAACTTCATTATGGCCTCAAAATGCTAAAGCTCTTCGGACTCAAAAAAAAATAATGCTACTATTCTATTTAAGATCCAATAATTAATCTCGCCTTTAATCTGGCTTACCATATATTCGTCGATATGAGTATTTTGTTTTATGAATTTGATCCACTTAATTATACATTGAATATGCCCTTTGCTGTTTTCGTGGCCAAAAATAGTTTGTTCAACTTTTTTCCGATTGTTGCATGGTCAGAACCACCTAAGGGAGAAAAAGGAAAAACTGAACACAAGCTAGGATCAGAGACCAGACATAAATCAAGGAGTGAAGGTAAATGATTAGAATTGTCAGGAAAACGAGTCATAAAATTAACTATCTGAGTAAGAGATTGAGAAATGCAGAAGTTATAGGCTTTAGTGCCTGAAGGATCTGTGGCGTTAGAGCTAAGCCATTCAGTGCGACGAGCATTTAAATCGCCAATAACAACTATATTGGCAAAGGAGTAAAGAGAGAGAGAACATGGTCAATTTTATTAGAAATTTTATCTAAAAGAGTGCAGTCTTAGGAAGAAGGAGAATCGCTAGCTTTTTAAATTAGCGAAAAGCTATCAATATTTGTCAAGATAAAGACAGCGAGTTGGCTGCGAGGAAACCTAGCTTAATAAGTCCTACTGGCTATTGTAGCTTGCGTCATATTGTAATAAACTCGCTGCCTAAAAAATTTTGATATGCAGCTATCAACCTGCTATAGACTTGTAGATATTTTGTAACTCGCTACGAAGCAACGAAATGAAAATTGTTATAAAACTAGCTAGTCGCTAGCTCATTTCCCACTGGGATATATTTTATCAAACAAAAAACTACTTAACTTAATCTTTTAATAAACATAAATTTATTGAACCTAATATTGAGAATATTATTTTTTCTCTTCAGACAGAAAGTTTCAGTAGCATCAATTTACAGCTTATATATTTCTAAGCACACAAACAAAAATTATTCTAATAATATAAAACGCAATTTATGGACAAACGCTTATCTTGAACACTAAAAATCCACGATAAATCTGTTTTCCCTCTTTTATTTTTTTTTTCTATTGATAGACGGATTGAATTTCTATTAAATTTAGATTAGGTATTAAAATTAGACTGTACGTGGGGTATCGTTGTTTCGATACCAAGAAAAATGCAAACCGTTTTTCGTGGACATTTTTTTTTCAATAAATTATTGCCACTTTGAAGTGGTAATCAACTATAACAAATTTTGACGATACAAATAGTCCGAAATTGTAACGACCATGCTGTTTTTTTGTGGGAATAGATGAGTATTAATAAGATATAATAACAAATTCCATTCCATAAATCTATAATTTTATTGAAAGAATACCCTTAGATTCATAAGTATACTTACTCTTTCTTGCGAGTTGATTTTTTTTTATTTATTAGAAAACTTTTCATTAAATCAAATATATTCTAAAAAAATTTATTTTTATTTATTATTATTATGATTATCCTGCTATTTAAAATCAGTATAAAAAAAGTAGTACATAACACTTTATATCTTTTTAATAAATATCTTTTTTCTTTTAAAAGTTTCACGGCTTGACTTTCAAGCAATTTAAATTCATTTGACAATTTGTTTTACAATTTTATCCCATCGCAAAAGATAGACTTTCGTCTGCTTTTCTTATTCTGGCGATACTTATTTATATTTCTTGTAAAACAGTTGTGCACTATAAAATGATGCATGTTTTTTTAAACAAAATTGGTACAAAATACAACATGCATTGTTACCAAGTGTGACCCAGTCATGTTTCAAGTTGTTGTCATAGCTTTGTTTTGTAACTTTGTAGCATTAAAGTATCATTTTCATTTACATCATAAAATAACGAAGAACAATATTTAAAACAAGGTGCGATGTTCAAGTGTAATTCTTTCTAATGTCTATGTAAAAGATGTAAAAATAAACTTATTAAAGAAACTTAACAAGTTATCGCAATTGCAATTGCAATAATTGTATAAAAAATTATTGTTTTTTATTTACCAAGTCAGATAATTGGAAATTCTCATAAAATAATCAGTCATCTTAGCAATATACCAAATGTGTTCTGTTAGCTGCAATATATCTAATGTGTTAAGAAAAATTTTAATTCTAGTCAAATTTAATACCCAAGTATTTCACACATTCACTGAATTTAACTAATTCATTTTCAAGTTTGACACATACATTAGGATATTTTTCAGTAATACTCAAATATTTTTACTTTGGAACTTGTAATCAACATACTTATTGACTTACTTGCATTCAGTTTCAATCCATTTTTAATAAACAAGACACTAACTTCCAATTTATCATTTAATTTTATCATTGATTCTTCATAACTCTTATCTTCAATGATAACTGATATGTCATCAACAAAAAGATTAAGTTTACATATCTATTACATAGTTTGATCTCTACCTCATTCTTGGTGATACCACACTTAAATTGTTTCTCCGCAAAATGAGCTTGTTTGTTAAGATTTTGTGCTTTCAAGTTAAAGAATTAAGAAACCTCAATAAAGTAGCCTCCTTGACCGTATTGGCTCTCCCAGCCTTGGGGAGGTAATTAATACTAAATAAAAATCTGGTAGCACTGTTAATGTATATTATAAAATACACGGGTCTTAGTTCTGATCCTTGGGCTACATCTACCTCACAAGGTAGTTCAGATGATAACCGATCACCAATTCTTACTCTTTGAGTTCTTCCTATTGAGAATCCATTTAATCCATTGAAGTACTATTCCTCCACTTTGTAGTATTTTAATTTGTCAATAATATTTTTGTATTAATTGTTTTAAATTTAAGTCTCGCATAACTGTAATGATGAACATATTGGCTTCAATTGCTGCTCTTCATATTTTAAATGAGTAATTGAACTCTGTTTCAGTAAAGTGATTTTTTCTGAAGCTAGATTGATTTTTATTTACACATGTGTAAACAAAAATCAAAATCTTTTTCATACAATGCTTACTTGTTTAGTGGTCTCATGTCTTGTGGTAACTTGGGCAATGTCACCTTCTGTAAGGGTAATATACTGATTTTTTTCAAGTTTTAAGTACAAAACGTGTTTTTAAAGGTAGATTATCTTTGTTCCTTTATTGTTTCTTATCTACAATATCGATCTTCATGAAAATTTTACATCTAAAGTGGCTTTATTTGCTGGCTACACAACTTTATACTCTTGTCTTGACAAAAAATTTTCACTTTTTGATTGCTTAGAACAAGCAACCAATTTTTAATCTGAGCTCTCCTCCATAACAGCCTAAGGCATGTAGTGGCTTGTGGATATAAGTTCTGGACATAAAGTCCACAATTTTTGTTGGACAACAAAACTCATTTACTGCAAAAAAATATTGCAATAATGTTGGCATTCCTATATTGATGAATAACAACCCTATTACTCTCAGACAAAGTCTGAGAGTAATAGGGTATTTCTTTCTACAAATTCCATCATGGTCAATGCTCAAATGAGCTATCATCTCTATTACGATAAACCAACTCATTCTTGCTTGGTTCTTATTCAACAAGTTACATCCTTTTACTGTATCTGTCCCTTCATGCTATAAAATTTTTATTGCAACCTTGCAACTCTTAGTCATCTTCATGTTTTTTTTTATATACAACGGACAACTTTTTATGTCTTCATTTAACTATTTCCTAATATTTTTACTTATCCTCTATTTTAAAGTTACTCATAACTTAATAGTGGTTGCTTGCAATCTTGTTAGAGGTAAATTAGAGTTTGAAAATATATAAATATATACCAGTATTTAACAAATAGTAAATGTAAGCATAAAATTATAATATATAAAGTATTATAAATTTTTTTCTAGCCCCGGCTATCAACCTTTACTAAATCTTATAGTTTTGTTAGGGGTGGGGCTGGGTTTAAAAAAGTCTCCTTTTTAACTAGAGACAAGGCTGGAGTTAGGACCCTGGTCACCTACTAATTGGTAATATACAAATATATAACTATTTTTCATATGAATATGTATGAGAGTTTAAGTAAAAAAAACTCTAACATGAGAATTTAAGAAATAAATTTTAAGTTGTTAAAATAGATGCTTACGGAGAATCAACATTTTCCCAAAGGCAGTGACAGTTGTTGAAATTCAACAACTGTCTCAACTATTTGACAACAACTCAACTATTCAACAACAACTCAACTATGCGATATATTCAACAGTTGAATAATATCAAATAGTTGAGTTGTTGAATATATTGAATATAAAGAATATTCCCTGATTAAATTAATGAATAGCTTATTTAAATCTTTACAATTGTTTATTGTTTTTACCAATAGTTTACAACAATATAACTCAAAAATGGTGCTTAAAAAAATAGATAACAGGATTCGTGTGTTAATTGAAAATGGAGTTCAACAAAAACACAGAACTTTATTTTTTGTTGTTGGTGAAAAAGCTCGTGATCAGGTAAAATATTTTTATTCAAGTTCATTCAACATTCTGTTCAATTTATTTTTAATTTATTAAAATCATTCATAAGAAAAGAGTTAGAGTCATTTGCATTAAAGTTTTTTACTACTTAGGTTGTTATACTTCATCATATGTTATCAAAATCTCAGATACGAGCTCGTCCTACTGTTTTATGGTGCTATAAAAAAGAACTTGGTTTCAGCAGGTTAAAATGTTTTTTCACTAGCAGATAGAACTTAAAAATTATAAATAATTTAAGTAATAAAATGATTTAAATATAAATATATTTAAATAATTTATATAATTTAATTTTTTTAATATTAATTTATTTTTTAAAATCTTAAACTAGTTAACCTGTAGAATAATAAATTCCATGTTCTACTTTTACATTAGTTGACATCACAAATGTTTTTCTCTAAATGTTATTGTTCTCATTGCCTAAAATAATATCCATTAATATTAAGTACAGCTGTTAAAGTTCAGGTTTGTATTTGGCTATGTTGTGGAAACAACCTTCTTTGTTTTATAATGGCATACAAGCACTGACCTGCATTAAGTATATTTTAATAATTAAGCTATTGTAAAAATTATTTTTATTTAAATTGGATGTTAGCAAATAAATAAAAAATATTAGAAACAAATGTTTTGTTCAAGTAAAAAAAGAGAACAAATAAAGTTGTTAATTCATTCAAAAGTTTATAAGAATTTTTTTTTCAAAATGTCTGTCATTCTTTTCTTAAGCAATTTTTAGCACAAATATTATATTATTTTTTTTAAGTTTAAAAATCTTGTTTAAACTTTAGCAAGATCAACTTCAACAATTATAATTTAACATTAGAGTTTTAGAGCTGTACCTTTATTATTTTACTGAGTTTTAGACCTTAATTAGGCAGTAGCACAAAGAGTTGCATACCTACTATCAAAAAGACAAAAGCAAAAATCTGAGTAGATTCATAAAGATCCAGCATACATCATTTTAGGAAACAAGCAATGTAACAATGATTTATGTCTACACCATTTTAATAAATAAAGGAATAGTGCCAGGTTGGTCAACAGATTTATTCTGCTTACCCCTAAAGTCTAAGAAGCCTTCTACAAGACGCTGGATGGAGTTAATATTTGCCTAAGATTAGTATTTTTATCGAGACACCATCTCTGACTTTTACTCAACCAAGAGCTCTAATCCTGCATAAGACGCGTACGACGGCACACCTTGTTTATCGACACTAAAGTAATTTTTTCACACACTGACCACAGCAGTTTGTATCTTAACTTGTTTCTTAAAGTGTTTCAATAATTAATAAGGGAAAAAAAAAATACTAAAAAAGGAAACAAAATTGTAACGAAATATCAAATTTTAATTAAACTAGAAAAATTTAATAACTAAAAAAAGAAAAGCTATTAAAAATAAATAATATTTTTACACAACTTTTTTTTTTTTTTTTTTTAAGGAGGTTGTTGTTTTTACCTACCAAGTTTGATGCCAGTTGAGGAAAAAAACATAATTTATACCAATTTTACATCAATTAAAAGTTTTGATATGCAATTTATTCACTACAATATTTTTATCAATCTGTATATTAAGAAACTAAATTGCTACATATGCTAGAATTATGAGAAACTTTGTTAATTTTTTTTCGTTTTTATTTTTATTTCGTTTTCATTTATTCGTTTTGACATCTTTTCGCTTTTAAAAATGTTTTTGCTCTATTTGGCGTTAATACTTATATTATAAGAAAATAAGAAAAGAAACTGCTATATATTTGTAAAATATATTATTGATTAATAAATTTTGTAATGACAGAAGAAATTGAATAAAAGAATATCCTGGTTTCTTTTTTAAATATATTTACCACACTTGATGCCTGTTTAAAATAGTTTCCTTTATATTGCTTAATTACCAATGTTAATATGAATTACTAGATAATGAACATAATGATTTCTCAGTTTGAAAAAATGTATTTAAAAACTTAAAAAAAGTTTTAAATAGGCTCCTAAAAATTTAGTTTAAAAAGTTCAGTAAATTAAAAATGCACTAGCCCACAAGCTTTTGGAGCATTGTCAGGGTTTAAATCCACAATTTAGATTATCCAACGAAAGTGCAGACTATTTCGATGGGATAGTGAAAACAACCAAATATTTTATAGTTGAATATTAGTATTAATGACTTTTTTTTTTTTTTACATAAAAAGTTTGTTTAAATCAAACAAATTTTTTTACAAATAAATAGCACTAAGTTTTTTCGCTTTCCTGTGCATTGATAAAAACAGTTAAGTTTAGCAAAAACATTTGAAAAACAAATTTTAAAATAGTCCATGTTTCTAGCACAAATAATAAAGTATTTCCTTAATATGCTGACTGAAAAAATGTGTGTGCACACGCTTACTGTGAAGGCTTGATAGTTGTAGTTACTAGTCACAGTTGTGATAACACTGAGATAACACTACACCAGAAATTCAAAAACATCATACATTGTCTGGTATTTGTCTGTTAAAAAATGATGTCTATCAATCCATTTGCCTGACCCATATTTTGTATGCATTTATTTTATAATCATTTTAGTTGTTTATTAATAAATTCAGTATTGTATATAAACTTTATTTTTTGTAAACAACAGAAAATGAAGTTACACAGCTACATTAATAAAACACATCATTTTTTTGAGCTAGTTTATTTTTTAAAAGATGCCTAAGCATTAAATTTTTTTGAATTAAGCATCCTGGTTTTTATCATTTACATTACAATGTTGCAATTGAATATTAATTAAAATTTACATTTCAGTATTTATTTTATTTTTTGCTCAATGGTTTTTATAAATTATAAACAAATATTTTAGCTTAGAAACCCCCCTCCCTTTTTTTTATTTATTCACCTTCTCAAGGCTAAGAAGGCCACTAGAGACGAGGAGGCTACTTATTTGTGGTTATAACCCTCTCTTAACTCTGAAACACGAACCTTGACAAACAAGGCTGCTGCGCAGAGAAACAAGTTGAGCGCGGTACTACCAGGGATGTGATGGAAATCAAACTCCGAACCACTCGCTTATGAAGCAAGCGATCTACCACTACACCACTACCGCTTTATAAATTTATTTCACCAAAATTTTAATGTTTTTTTAATGATTATAGAAACCAGTACTTTTTATTACACAATTAAATTTGAGCTTTGTTACATAATGTTTGTTTTCGCGCTAAAGTTTTTCACTATGAAAAATGTTTATAAATATAGTCATGGAAAAAGTTTGAAAAGATTTATTAAGAAATATATATTTGTAAAAATGTAATTACGTATAATATTTATTGATAACCGAAATAAAATAGTTTAATTGTAATCAATCATTAAAATTAATTTGTTACTTTATTTGCTAAAGTTATAAGTAAACATAATAATTTATGTATTTAATTTATAATAATTTACAAAGCATTTTGCATAGTATAGTAATTTTTTACTTTTTCAATTTTCAGTGTTTTGAGCTTAGATTTTTTCTTTTTCTTAAAGATTTGATTTTTTTTGAGATAAGTTATCCTTTAAATTTTCTTTTTATTTTCAGCATTTTTGAAACGCCTAAAGTTTTTAAAACAATTAGCTGTGGTCAAGCGGTAAAAACAAAATATATTATGCCTGGTCATGAATGGCATTCGATCAAATTTCTTTAGATCGCATTTCTTACAAACATGAATATTTATCGGACAAATTGTTTCTAATGGATTCTAAAAAATTAAATAGCATTAGTTATCTTTTCAACCAGAAAAATTTTCACAATATCTTTATTACTTGGCAAAATGCTTCCAAATTTTTACAGATAATAGAACAGAGTATAACCTATTATTTTAAATAATGTATTTTTGATCATAAAATTTTTTTTAAAAAAAAAAAAAATGGGTTTACAACATTTTCTAAACACAATCAGGCTATCACAGGAAGGCGTGTGATCGCACCTCTTTATATGACCATACAAAAAATGTATGTTATAATGATTTGACCACGGCTTCTGACATATTTTCAAAAAATGCGCTACAAAAACTCACCTAAACTTATATAAAAAAAAAAATTGTAAAAAGAAAAAAAATCAAAAGAGAAAAGAAAAAAAAATACATAGTTGAAGCAAAAACACAAAAAAATAAATATATATATAACCCAACTAAAATAAAACTCATCAAACTAAAATGCTTATTCTATTTGTTTACGCATTAAAAAACCATTTCAATCTTTGTTTTAACATTTGTACTTTTTTTATTTTATTTAATTTGTTTCAAAAAATAAACATTTCTCATAAAAAATACATAATTATATAAATTAAAAAAAAATAATTTATTAATACTTATTTTAAATATTAATTAAAAGTGTTTTGTTACTTCATTGAAAAGGGTTTCAATAATATAAAAGCATTTAAGATCAAACTTATTTAATTGTAACACTTGGTGTAGTTAAGGCGATTTACAAAATATTTGTATACTTTTATTTGGAATTAGCATGGTTTTGTCAGCATATTATGCCCAAACAAGATCTTTAAATGTTATAATTTTTTTTGCTTAAGGTTTTTATAATATTTGAAGAAACTTTTCTTTTTTATATATAATTTTAAAAATCTTTTTACAACCCGTAATAATGTATCTAAAGAACACTATTTTGGTATCTTTAGGTCAATTTCGCTCATCGACATTAACATGAATTTAGTTAAAATCTTTTTTAAAAATTACTTAATTTACTACTGATCCTAGTTCTAATCGGTTCTGACGTATATTAACTATATATAGTTGTCAAAACACAATATTTCTATCAGCTTTCACAAAAAATACTGGAATTCCGACCAAGAAAGAGCTTATAATTATAAATAATTGCCAATAAACGATCAGAACAGATCATATTGTTAAACTATAATGTTCATTTCACCTAAAAAACGTATTAATATAAAATCTTATTTAAATTTGGACGAGCAATTGATTTTAAGATTATTTAAAAAAAAAAAAAGATTCCACGGTCTGGGTTTTTTCGCTACAAAAATTTATATTTTATGATACCGCAAAATTTATTATTTAAATTTTTTTTGTCTTTTCATAATTCACAGACCAGACCATTTCACGGAAATATGTCATAATCAGCAAAAATCATACAGACGCTATAATATTTTAAAAGTGCCTTAACTACACCGAGCAGCTTTCTAAAACTTTTTTTTTTTAAAGAAATTTTGTTTATCTTTTTAAA